CCTCAGGACGTCTAAGTCGACACTACAGAAGTGGATCGCGACAGACCGCGACGACCTCCTCGAAAGAACCGCCGATGAGATGGGTGCAGCGATCAACGACCACGCCGCCCATCTAGAGGCGCTGCACGCCAAGCGACTACTGGCCTTTGGAGGACGAAAGTCAAAGAAGCCGCCGACGCCCATCATCCGCACCAACGACGACGGGGAGCCCATCACCAACAAGAGCGAGATCGCCGACCACGCCCTCGCCTTCTATGGCAAAGTTGAGCAAGCTATTGCCACGGATGCAGATGGGGTAGCAGCCGACTACAACAAGAGGACCCGCCAAGCACGACCAGAACCCAAGATCCAAAACATAATGCCCAAGCACCAGCTGACCAGCCTGCTCGCCGCCGCCAACCGAGGCCGCCGAGGAGGCCCTGACCAACTCACCGACGACATGTCCAGAGCCAGCCCTGAAGGGACGGCTCGCCTGCTCCACCCCGTCCTAATCAAGACCCGCTTCGAGAGCGCCGAGCCCATCGCCGCCAAGGGAGGGTGCTCTACCTATTTCCACAAAGGACAGGGTGCCATGGAGCTCCAGAAATCATACCGCGGCACCCTCCTCAACAACACCACCGGCAAGATGCACAGCGCCTTCCTCCGATCCCGCGTTAAGGGCCTGCTACCTGAGCTACTTGAAGCAACCCAATGCGGCGCCCGACCCAAGATGGCCACGGATTTCATTACTCACACCAGCCTCGCCTTCATCTGCGACTGCCAGAGGAGATCAATATCATGCAGTATCACCTTCCTGGACCTCAGGGAGGCCTTCCGCTCCGTCATCAGGGAATTCTGCAATTGCCGACCACCGCAGGCGAACTCAACGAGCTCATCGAACGGATCGACATTCCCGACTTCATCAGACCAGCTCTAAAGGAACGACCCCAGCAACCCGCATACAACAACCAGCACATCGACGACGAGCACCTCTGCCATATGATCGCAGATCACCACACCTCCAACTGGATGACAGCCAAGAGCGCTAGGCATTACCAGCTGCCTCGGACCAGCACACGACCTGGAGTGCCATACTCGGATGTCGCGTTCAACATACACTTCCCCATCATGCCGAGGGCAATTGACCAGGCAGTTCGAGAGGAAGAGGCCCACGGCCAGCAGTCAGGTGGACATGAAATAGAGGCGTGCAGTGAGCCTCTTTTTTCACCAACCCCCCACGAAGACAGCGTGCTCAGAAACATGTCCTTCGTCGACGACCCACCGACTACAACTCGACCGCCAACGCCAACGACCTGATCAACACGACAGCCCTGGCAGCAGCCAGGCTCTGCACAGCAGCAGTCCAGCATGGATTGAAGCCGCGCCCAGAAAAGACCAAGGCCATCCTCATGCACTACGGCGCGGGGGCCAAGAAGGAGAAACAGCGGATAGCCAAGGAGGGAATCGCATGCCTAGAGCTGGACGGGCTCGCGATCAAGGCGCAGCTGGATACGCAACAGAAGGCCCTCGGGGCCATCATCTCGGCGGGCGGGGTCATGGGGCCAGAGATCTGCCTAAGGGTCAATCGTGCAACCGGCGCAGCTCGGCCTCTAGAGAAGCAGATCCTCCGCCGCAAGAAGCTCTCGAAGAATGCCAAGGTCAAGTACGTCCACTCTTTTTCGACATCCTCGCTTACCTACAACCACCATGTCTGGAACGACTTGGCCCAGAAGGACATGAAGCACATTTCCGCCAAATACATGGGCCCATACCGCGTAGCCGCTTCACTACCCAAGACCGACTCACCCGACCAGCACGTCTCCGAGGCCGAGGCGATCGCCAGGACAGGTGTACCCGACTTCACCACTCACCAGTCGATTGCGAGGCTACGATACTTGCCCAGACTCTTGGGTAACGCTCCAGCAGTCCTACTTCATCTACTCGACGGCCAGCGCCAACGAAAAGGCACATGGAGCCGCCAGCTCAAGAAAGACTTCGACTTCCTACGCAAGTACGTACCAAAAGAAAGGTGGCCCAGCCAAACCCAGCACGACCGCGACATCATCAACTGGGCCCGACAGAAGCCGAAGGTATTCACCAACGCGGTCAGGGCGGCTTTGAAGACATACCTTCTCCACACTCGCGACCAAGTTCAAGGCGCCAAGCTCCAGAAGGATATATCGATGGCCCCGGCAGATAACACAACCGAAGTGATGGACCTCAGCGACGACACGAACAACCAGAGGTATGTCTGCTACGCCTGCGGCCGAGTTGCCTCCAGGCAAGGCATGCTAATCCATATGGGCAGAGACCATCCAGACCATGGAGACCCGCGCTTCTGGGCGACAGGGACAGCGTGCCGATGCTGCCAGACCGAGCACCACTCTCTTCCCAGGCTCATCAAGCACTTATCGGTGGCTCACCGTTGCCGCAAATCCTGGCATGCCTGGTATACCCAGACGATGGAGCCTCTGACGGATCAGCAAATTGCAGACAACATTGCCGCCATCGCCGAGGCCACAAACGCTAACAAAAAGCAAGGGCGACACCCAACATTCAGCGACAAGCCAGCCTACCCGTGCGACATCACGCCGCTGCCTCTCCTCGAGACGTCGCCCGTCCTACCCGAAACATTTGCCATGCTCGAGTCATCGCCAAGCAGACCACCCGCTTGCTCGCCCGCAGAACCAGCCGAGCGCCAAGAAATCGTCTTCATCACGGACCGCCCTCGACAGGCCGCCGACCTTCAACAGATCATGGCCAGCTACGGGATCACGAGCATCAGCGGACTGGACTACACGCAGATCGCCATCCCCAGCGATGGTCACATCTCAGAACTCCCTACAGTACTTCGGCGAGCACAACACAGGATCCTACATGGCGAGGTTGCCGCCATCGACGTAGAGTTCCCACGACGTACCTGGTACTTACACGATCCCACCGACGTTCTAGGCAGCAGAGCAAGCAAGCGGCGCACCCCAGAGGCACCCTGGGGCATGCCTCAAGTCTCCGAAACCATCGCCGACGAGCTATTCGCCGCCAACAACGTCACACGTGAGATATTGCGCATGGTCTTCAAGGCGACCAATACCAGAGTACCGTTCGTAGCAGCCATCTCTGCCGAGTCGATCATCAGACAGACTCCAGAATATCGGCACATCGTCAACCTGACGACCGTCTACGAGACCCTTACGAACCACTACGACCTCGGTAGCATACAGATCCTCGGCAACGGCACCCGCGACGACCTCCGCAACACAATGCACATGGCAAACGAAGAGGAGATCGACTTCACCATTGCCGACCTGCTCGGCGGCAACATGGTGGCTAGATGGGGCCTCAGAGCAGCAGCCGCTGCTCCTACCAGCCAGAACATGAACACCATCGACGCCTACTACATCGAACGAGAGGACGAAGTGCCGCCTCATGCTGAAGATGAACGCCATGAAGAATGTCATCGGCGACAAGTTCATTGGCGTCAGGACGCAAGTCCTGAGGGAAGCCCCGAGTGCGTGGGAACACCTCAGGCAGCGTCGCCAAGTTCTGCAAGAGGCGTTAGGACGCAAGTCCAGGGGAAACCCCGAATGCGAGGGAACACCCTAGGCACAAGTCGCCACGTTTTGTAGTATGTCAGAAGGCAGCGCCAGCTCTTGCAAGAGGTCAGCGGGTACTTGCGAGCCGCATCATGCACCCACTCCACTCTCGCCACGCACCACCGACCAGACACACCTCACGACCAAAGGTACGACCTCCCACAGCACGCCACAAGTCAACGCTGCCATGGCGAGGCAAGGATCAAACTTCGAGACGGGCTCGAAGGGTGGGGGGGGCAGGACGAGTACTGCCCGCGCCTACCAGGGGGGATGGTGAGGGGCAGGGGGGGGAGGACGGCCACTACCCGCGCCCCCGCGGTCCGCCCTAGCTCGCCACCCCCACCATCCCCATGGCGAAGGAGGAGCTCACCCGATCGCCGACACGGCGAAGCTGATGGCAGCAGAGACATTCCTCACCGACGACAACTGCAAGCACCAGGCCTGGGGTTCGCCCCCACCGAAGGCACCGTGACCCCTAGTCATAGCGGGACGAGGTGGGGCCGCCACAAACCCTACTTGAAGTCGGTGCATGGAGGCCTCCTAAGTGCGCCCATAACCCACACTACAACCCCAACAACAGGACGTTTTTCCTACGACCTGACCATAGACATTCAAGACGACCATCTACAACCTATGGGACTCGCCACCGACCGATCACCCACCCCGCAACCACCAACTATCCAACCACCATCACCATCTCGATTCTACCAGCCCACTGAAAGGAGGACAGGAGCAGGGTGCGGCACGACTCAACCACGACAAGGCCTGCTGAAAGGAGGACAGGAGCAGGGTCCTCAACAGCAAGGCTTGACCAGTACGCCACGGAGACACTGAGAAGGAGGACAGGAGCAGGGTCCCCAGAACCAATCTCCAGATGGCACGCCCGCAGAAAAGGAGGACAGGAGCAGGGTCCTCAGCTGCGAGGTACTTCAAAGACAACCAACCCCAGAGCCTCTACACCACCAACAACAGTCACCACCTCGACCAGACCAGCCCGCTGAAAGGAGGACAGGAGCCGGGTCCTCAGCAGCGTGGCGTGTTGAGCCCACCACATCTGAAGCTGTGCTCAGCACGTCCGACATCTCAGAGGAGCTCAAGCAAAGTGAAGGAGGCGGCGCACCGTGCGCCGCGGCGAGGCCTTCCCCGGCCTTCGGGCCGAAGGGGGGAACGGCCCGCCCCCCGTGTAACATACGGGGGCCGCCAGCTCAGCCGAGCTCGTGGGCGGCTAGAGAAGGTCGGACGCCCCTCAGCTCGCGAGCAAAGGAGGCCTCACTGACAGGGTTCGCTGAAAGGGTTCGCTGGAAAAGGCGGAGGAGGACGAGGAGGGAGGAGGAGGCAGAGGAGGAGGGGCCCTCAGACGCCGAGGGGGGGGGCCCTCGGCCCCACCGCTCTCTCACCCACTTGCCCCCCCGAGGCGCGCCGCCGATCTGCGTCAATGGGGGGCGCCGCCGGGAGCCCGGGCGAGCGGGCCGTCCGTGTCAGAACGGCTGCGGGGGAGAAGAGCAGTGCTTAGGCTCGCCATCGCTCGGACGTCCATTCCCTGTGTTTTTGTTCGGTTTCGTGCGCGTTTTTTCGCCACATGATCAAGGATGCTCCTCGATGGTCCTCGCCGAAGGAAAAAAAGGCACACGTCCGAGCGATGCCAAGTAGGGGGCCACATGCGAACCCTACCCCTAACCCCCCACGATTCTCGGGAGCTCCCGAGCGAAGTGAGCCCCACCCCTACCCCCTCAGAAATCGCAGGGGGTGGGGGCAGGGTTCGCCTGTGGCCCCCCAAATGCTGTCCGCGGCGCACGGTCGAAGACTGGCGGGAAAACTGCGGCGAGGCCAGCCGACACCAACAGGCCGCAGGCAGCCAAGAAGGGCGCAGCGGCGCAGCACCGACACGACAGCCGACCCATCTAAGCCGACCGAACGCAATCGACTGCGACGGAGCCGAGACGACCGAACAGCCGCGGGCACCCTTGGATGGAACGCACATGCATATATATATATATATATATATATAAGCACTATATGTACACCTTGGAGGCGCGCGTCCGACCCGAACATACAGTATACCCATCTTGTAAAATATTGCTTCCCGAGCGGTGTGGCCAGAAAGCGCCCACCACGACGCATATACTACAAGATTTCTCGGTGCGCGCGTCGCCCCTGGGAGGGCGACGCGCATATGGTATCAGTGGTTGGGGCGACGCCGATTCGAGGAGGAGCCCGAACATGGACGTGGAGGGGGTGCGAAGCACCGCGGCCAGCCGGGGGCAGAACTCTCCTCCGATCACGCACCTGTCCTCAAGGGACCCTTCGCGGCGCTCCTACCCCACGGTCAAGACCGGTTGCACCACGCGCTGCGGCGGCGGCCGCGACGACACGCCGCGCTCTGCGAGCGGGCAGCGCGTCGTCGCGAGGCGGGGGGCTCGGAGAAGCTCGGGGCGTCGACGCTTTGGGGGCGGGGGAGCGGGTGGCGTGTCGCACCGAAGCGTGGTGGTCCAGAGGCGACGGAGCGGCTCGCCAAGCCAAAGTTTCTCACCGAAAGCTGGAACACGCACACACGCACACACACACACACACACACACACACACACACACACACACACACACACACACACACGCACACACACACACACATCCGCAGTAATTTTGGCTGAAGGCTGTGAACCGCCTGACCACCGCGAGCTCGTTCGCGGGCGATTCTGAGCGCCAGGGGGTTCGCGCTTAGGCAAAACCGCTCCAAACGTCGTGCTGCTCATACACGTGGCAACGCGAGAAGAACAGAGCGCGCGCGCGCTCCTTTCCCCCTAAAGGCCCGCGACCTCCCTGCCCGCGGAGCGCCCTGGGACCTATTTCGTTTCCGTCCCCTCCTCATCATCATTATCATCATCATGCTATTCGTTATTCCTCACTCCTCCACCACCGCCTGCCCCATTCCTTCTTTCTCCTCCTTCCTCTACACGTCCTGCTCTAGTCTCCTCCTCCTCCTCTTCCTCCGTCTCTCCCTTCTCTTTCTGCTTATATTCATCCTTTTCATCATCCTCAACCTCATTCCCCCTCCTCCTCCTCCTCTTCCCCCTTCGATTCCTTCATTATCCTTCTTCTCATCCTTCTCGTCATCCTGCTCTGATCCTCAACTTCCTCGCCATTCTCCTTTTCCTCCGCCTCAGACTTCTCCTTCTCCAGCTCCTCTCCCCCTCCCCCGTCCTCCCACCCGCGCTCCATCAGGTCTTCCTCCTCTCCTGCCCTCCTCCCTCGCCTCCTTCACGCTCGGAGGCAGGAACGGAGAGAGGGGGGGGGCGGCAGGGAGGAGGGGCGCGGAGGAGGGAAGGCATGCCGGCAAGCCCAGAACCTCCAGGATGGATGCCCCCATCCCGGACCACCGAGCATCCGGCCCGAGGGGCTGGCGGCCCCCGGAGCGGGGCCACACCTCTGCCCCTCGCAGCGCTTTCGCGCGGGCGCGCCGGGGACCTCTCGGATCAACCCCGGAGCTTCCAGAGGACACAGTCGGGGCGTTGACCTAAGGAACCCTAAATAAGGATATTACCCTAAATAAGGACAATAAATAAGGATATTATAATAAGGATATTATCCTTATTATAATATCCTTATAAGGATATTATCCTAAGGCCTCGTTCCTTATCCGATAAGGAACGAGGCCCCTTTTTCTCATAAGCTAAACTTCGATTCCCCATGGGGAGCCTCAGGAAAGCCCGGGGCAAATGGTGAAGCAGTCGAGGATCCCCGAGCCCCTCCCCAACGAGAAGGGTTCCTTCTTCAGCGCCCCGACTGCATCTGCGGGACGTATGTTGGGCCCCCGCGGGGCGTTTGGGGCGTGAGGAAGAACCTCCTCGCCCCATGCTGGACCCCCCCCCCCCGAGAGATACCTCTGCTCTGGGGCCCGGGGCGCGGACCCAGCTGCTGCGCGCTCCCCCCTCCTCCCCTTCCCGTCCCAGGGTACGGCAGGTTCGTGTCGTGCCGACCCCAGCGTTGGTTTTTGACACCGCAGGGATCGTTCAACCTTGAACGATCGGCCGCTGCCGCAACGTCCGATCGTTCAACATCGATCGATTCTGGGTCGCCGGCGGCGTTCAACCTTGAACGTCCGCGCTGGGGTCGCAGCTGGTCGACACGACGCAAACCTACCGTAGCATGATCGCACGATCGCGCCGGAGGTATCGTTCCGTGCGAACGCGGGCCTGCCGAGAGAACACCGGGAACGGATACCTCCAACCGCCCACTCTGAGAGCAAGAGAGGGGGTCTAGCGTCTGGAGGCGCTCCACACCTCCAGGCAAGAGGCCTCCAGACGCTAGACCCCCTTCTCCTGCTTCTCCTTCTCCCTTCCTCCGAGGCGATGGAGGGGCATCCTTCTCCCTTCCTCCTGCCTCCCTTTTCCTGCTTCCTCCTTCGTCCTGCTTCTGCCTCTTCTCCTGCGCTCTGGAGGGCATCTCCTGCTTCCTCCTTCTCCCCATCACGAGCGCGGGCCCCGGCAGGCACTGCCCTGAGCTCTGCCGGGGCGCAGGGGTAGCCCCTTCTGGGCCTCAGCGGAGCGCGGGGGTGGTAGTCACTTTGCAACAAGCTGCAAATGGGTAGCCCCTTCTGGGCCTCAACGGAGCGCGGGGGTAGTGGTTACTTTGCAACAGGTTGCAAATGGGTAGCCCCTTCTGGGCCTCAACGGAGCGCGGGGGCAGCGGTTACTTTGCAACAAGCTGCAAATGGGTGGCCCCACTGGGCATCAAAACGGAGCGCGGGGCAGCAGTTATCTTGCAGCAGGCTACAACAAGGAGACACGCGGGAGCGATGGGGGACCCCCCAGGGGGCGGGGCACCTGGGTCCCTCTGCCACCCCTTGGAATTGGGGGGGGCGGAGGGAGGAGGGGGAGGGGGAGGGGGAGGTGGGGGGGGGGCAACATCGCGATGACGGAGGACTGCGACTGGAGGCTCACCGTTGAGCAGGGACGAGGAGAGGAGAGAGAGAGAGAGAGAGAGGTGGCAGCAGGTGCGGCAGCAGGCTGCGGCTGCCAAACTGGCTCTGCCTCTTTCTCTTCCTCCTCCTCCTCCTCTTCTTTTTTGCCTTTAGGCAAACTTAGATCGACCGGGCTCGTCGCGCCTGGGTGGTATCAAGAAGCGGCCTGACGCGGCACCGACTTAGGCGCAGTGGCCAACAAATGAAACGGGAAGCAAATGCAGACATACATTGGGAAACGAACTCTATATGCCGACGCTTTTTCCGACCCTGCGCCGAAATTCGCACAGGAACGCGGATCCTGGTGTATACGGGATCCTGGTGTATACATTTTTCGTTTTCCCTGGGGAAACGGGAAATAAGTATACACCACACCACCCCGACGTCGTCCCCGACCCTCAAAAAGTTCTAGGATTGAAAAACTGCCCGCCACTGGTAATGTATGTGCTCCACTTTCCGATGCAAAGTGGCACAAGGAAATGGAAGATAACGAGGTGCCCGCATGGACAAAGAGCAACCAAGCAAGCAGCCTGTGAGGGAGGAGGTGGGACACGACCATAGCAGTAGGCGTGACATGATAAGAACGTAATCCACAACACGAGTGAGGGAGGACGAAATACTGGTCGAAATGCTGCGGGCAGCAGCTGGCTGTGGGCCCTGTTATGTCTTCCCCGATTGGTGGCTGGCACGAGTCGCTGCGACTCGGCAGTCCACGGTGGGGGGCCCAAACGTAAGGCTCACCCCCTGCCGAGGGCAAGTGGCCGCTGCAGCAACTTGCAATGCAGCCAAACCTAGCACAGAAGAGCATCCTTCAAGAACCTGAGAACCTCCGCTGGCCAAACTGAAGAACATTCGAGGGTGCCCTCCCCCAGGATGCACAAGAACATCCAACAAGCACGAAGAACATTAGGGTGCCCTCGCCAAGCCGACCTCGATCTTATGCCTCGGCCGGACCGTCGCACCCACCTGAAAGTAGAGCCAAGTAGACGGCTGAACCAGGACAGCTCTCCTGATTGTGCGTGGGTGCTACAATCAACCCGTATACTAAGGATGCGCGGTAAGTATGCAAGGGCCATGGAAGGCCATGCCCTCGCTTTGCGAACGGGGCGCGGCCAGCGAAAGCGGCCACGGATGGGCCGAGGGGAAAAGATGCACGGGTAACCTTGGGAAGTTGCTCATCCTTACTACGCCGGTTGACTGTGCTGCTGGGCTGGGGTATGCCCGACTGAAAAAAATTAGGACGAGCAAGGCTGTGTGGCAGACAGTGACAACATCGGGGAAGCTGGCCTGCCTCCTCCTCCTCTCTTGCGCAGGCTGGGAGGCGCACGCACGCGCCCTGTAGCGTCAGCGGGCACGGCCACCTGGGCAAGCCGTGCCAAAGTACAGTCGGGCCGCTGAAAGAAGGAACGCTAAATAAGGAACGAAGCCCCTTCTTGGCCCTGTAAGCGCCTCCGTGCCCCAGGAGGGCAAGAGGAACAGCTCTGGAGGAATCTGAGGAGCATCGAGCCCCCTCCGAACCCAAACTGTTCCTT